TGCAGGATTTTTATGCATCTGTGAACCAAGATATGGGAACAGTGAACAGATGTTCATCATTAGCACCGGAAAAACACGGAGTCCCTTTTCCAAACCGGTGACCAAATAGCACCTAATATAAACATCTGCCTCAATTAACACTTGACAGGAATATGCAGTTTGATTGCTTAATTCATTCTGAAAATGCAAAACATTCACGCAAATACAGATAAAGACACGTCTGTTGGGGTTGTCACGATGTCGGATTGGAACTGCATGATTATTGTGGTCAAAATTCTTTACGATAATGAGGGCTAAATTATACACATGAAAAAAAATTGGGATTTTTTCCTGTGATATTTATGGCAATGTGAAAAAAAATCACCAGATCTTCAACCAGGTTTTAGTGGATGAGTGCATCTGCTAAAAAAAAAAAAAAAAAAAAGCTCTATTATCCTTTAACTCTTTTTTTTGGCGCAACACTGGCAAATGCATTCGAAATCTTTTTTTTTTTTGCATTGGGTGGCAATTAAATCTATCTTTCTCTCGTCATACGGCGCTATGTGGTGTTGATTTACTTTTTATAAATGTGTTCTGTTTCCTCGTGTGGTGGCAACAAATACAAGAAACCGAGTCCCTGATTTTTTGTCAACATCATCATGATGATCATAATTATTTTGATCAATAAAACTTGTTATTGCATTTTCACATTTACAATACAAGAGCACTGTGTTTGCTTCCATGCTGCGCTACATTTCTGATAAAATTAGCATTGCAATGAAACCGTCTTTAAATGAAGTCAGTGCATCTCCAACAGGAAAAACAGATAATTTACACCTTACAGCGACACCACAGTTAGGCAATGCTCCCTAAATACTTCATATGCAGAAGACGGTGCACAGAGAAGCCTCTAGTCTCCACCAATGCAGCCACTTGGACCAAAAATCGATTTGAGAGTGAAAAACCAAATGATTTTATCTGATTTCTAGGAACTGAGCTTTTAATGAGCAGACCACACATTTTAGGCATCAATATCCCAGTAGATCATTTAATTGTGAGAAGCCAAAATCATAATCATGACAAATATTCCAAAAAATGTGAAGCCCTACAACTGACATTATTTATATATTACAACCAGATCTTCTTTCTCAGTTTTCTATTCCCCTCTTATTTTGCTGTGGACATGTGGAACCTACACTTTAACAAACTATGAGTCTTGCAGATAAACTATCTTGTAGATTACTAAATGAGAACTGTTTAAACAGTGAGGCGATGCGGAGGCAGCTGGCTAAGCAGATTAGGGTGACCATATTTTGATTACCAAAAACCAGGACACTTGGCCTCACAATGAGATACTGAAATGATTCTAGAAGTTTACTCAAGGATGCCTTAGAATTTCCATACATTTAAAGTATGCCTCCTCCAGGACAGGACCAGGACATTTTCATTACTTTATAAAAAAAACAAACAACCAGGTCGGCCAGGACAGGACGTGAAAACCGGACATGTCCTGTTAAACCAGCAGATCATTCAAGACGTCCCACTCCCCAGCAAGTTCCTCCTGGTGTTCCCGAGGCGTTTCAAGGTCAGATGAGATACATATAATCCCTCCAGCATGTTCTGGGTCTGCCCCGGGGTCTCCTCCCAGTTGGACGAGCTCGAACAAACCGCTAAAGGAAGTCGTGTAGGAGCCATCCTAATCAGATGCCTGAACAACTTCAGCTGGCTCCTTCTGACCCAAAGGGGCAGCGACTCTGAGCTCCCTTCACATGTTCAGGCTCCTCACCCTGTCACCAAGGCTGAACCCAGACACGCTGTGGAGGAAACCCATTTCCACTGCTTGTATCTCATTCTTTCAGTCACTACCAGATCTCAGAACCATAAACGAGGGTTGGAACGTAAATGGAGTGGTAAATCCAGAGTTTCACCACCAACATTTAGTACATTTCTGCTTCTGGAGACTCTGGATAAAACATGGCCGACACCAGCTGACATGAAGTAATAATTACAACTTACCTTATTGGACAGAATTTAATGAAGAACTCTTTCCATCTTGTAGGTGACCAAAGTGACTGGTTTTGTTGTTTTTTTTCTTCTTTTTGTTCGAGGTTTTTGGTGGTTGTAAGCAGTTGGCTTTGTTCTGCAACCTCTACCTCTTCTTCTCTGTTTGTTACAGCCATGTAGAATACACTGCCACCTCCTGACATCACTACTAAGCCAAGTTTATTCTCCTCGAGCAGTTAATGGAAACAAGCCTACTTCGCAGTATCTTTTATGTTTTTGCAACACCTCAAAAGCTTGCTTCATTATCCCATGGGAATAATGTGGAGGCATGGCTGCTGTGGTTGCAGTGAGTTAGTAACTATGTCTTCTTCTTTTTTCCAGGTTTATGGCAGGTGGCAACCAGCAGTAAGCTGCAACATCGCCACCTACTGTTTTGGAGTATCAACCAGATAGTTCCTGGCACTGGATTATTGATTATTGTATATGTGCTACTG